AGACAAGAAAAGGACTCTTCAAAATCATGGAAGAGGGAAAAATTCAGGTCACTGGTTTAGATATGGTGGTGATGGGGGTCATATATACCTGGAATGGTAAAAGATAATGCTTTTCTCATTCTTTGAAAAGGCATGAGTTGAGATTGCCTTTGAAACTGGTATCTCCAAGGATATATCTACACAGCAGCATTATTTTGAAATAATTTTATTTCAAAATAACTTAGTCCGCGTCTACACAGCAGGCAGTTATTTTTGAAATAATGTCAAAATACTGTCAAGCTGGAGGACTGCTTACTCCAACTCCTGTAACCCTCATCGTATGAGGAGTAAGGGAAGTCAGAGGAAGAGTGCTCTATTTCAAAATACATGCTGTGTAGACTCTCCCAATTTCAAAATAAGCTATTCTGAAATAAGCTACACAATTGATGTAGCTCAATTTGCGTAGCTTATTTTGAGTTAACCCCTGCTGTTTAGACCACCCCAAATGAAAAGGGTAACTAGAAACTTTATCTTCTTTTCAGGTTGTAATCTTAAATTTTCCAAAACCTGATAACCAGTGTCCCCTGTAAGTGTATGCTTGAGTGGCCACCCAAGAGAAATTCAAATGCCACCAAGCTAATTAACAACAGCACTCTCAGCCACCCACAGCCAACAGCACATGTTTCTATTGGTGATACACATCTGCAGATGCCTTGTACATACAACAAAATGTATTCCATGCATGGGGAACACTGCAGCTAATATCCCATATTTTTCCCCTTTATTTTGACTCTCTGGGTACATCTAAACTATATCCCTTTTTCAATAAAGGGATATAAATTAGACGTATCGAAACTGTAAATGAAGCCAGGATTTGAATTTACCATGCTTCATTTACATAATGGCGTTCGCAGCTTTTTTTCAAAATGACGCTTTTCAAAAAAAATCTTGGTCAAGATGGGGATCATTTGACAGAAATGCCCCGTTTTGAAAGATGAGGGTTACAGGATCTTTCAAAATGGGGCAGTTCTGTCGAACGATCCCTATCTTGACCGCAGGTATTTTTCGAAAAGCAGCTTTTCAAAAAAAAGCCATGGCTGGCGTTATGTAAAAGAAGTGCGGGAAATTCAAATCCCAGCTTCATTTACAATTTCAATACGTCTAATTTACATCCCTTTGTCGAAAAAGGGATGTAGTTTAGATGTACCCCAAGATAAGACTGTCAATGAGGAAGCCACTTGATGTCAGTGGTGGTGTTTTCTCAAAGTTTTCACAACAGAGCAAGTGGTCTTATTCTAATTTCTTGACAAAGGCTGCTAAACAGTTTTGAGATGAAATGGAAACTACAAATCTGGGTATAGGAGAGAAACAGTTTCTGCAGACTACAGTCTTTCTGGTGAATCCCTGGAGTGGAGACATACTTTCCATTGTTTCCACTGTGTAGAAAGCAACACATAATTATGGCTGGAATGTAGCTGGAGAGAACTATGCATCTTAAACTAACTTAAATGGCTGTGGATCTTAGGGAAAAGCTTAAATAATATTCCCATTTACATCTTTTTCTAGCAAGAAACTATCTGAAGGCAGAGCCATTCTTATTCATAATTTTTTAAAAAGAAAATAAAAATCAAAGAATGTGAATGTACTAAGATTATTATATGTCTTCATGAGTAGCTTATTTTTCAAAAGTGAAGCCTGAGCTTTTATGTCTCTTAAGTGAACAAGTCAGAAAATCGTTTTGATTCTTTTTTAAGATTTTGAACCTGAACTACATTAAAGTAATTATGACAAGAAACAGACTCCTAATCACAGCAAATTGTTTTGGCATCCCTGTAAAATGCTGATATTTAGAAAACCCACTGGAGGCATCTTAATGAGATTAATTTAATTTAATTTAATTTAATTTAATTTAATTAGTTAATAATTTAAGGTCAGGTTGTGCTCTCAAACAGCAAACATCAAAAATAAACAGCATTATATTTGCCTAATTGCATTCCCTTAATTAATTGGCATTGATTTGTGATATTCCCCTCACACCCGTACTTAAATAACAACAGCAGTAGTCTATGTCTAGTTAAGAAGGGATAAGATTGTGTGGACTAGTTTTTATTATGGGACCTTCTCCATTGTGGCAGTTATTAAAAAAAGCTGTATACAGTTACTCATTTGATTTCCCTTCCATGCACATCCAAAAGTTAAGAAGTAATTTTAATTGTCTCTTGCAATCATGTTAGCCTTTGTTTGTAGCTTTCTTATGAAACAGTTTTAGAGTCTGGAGAGAAATCTGTCATCATTAGAAAACAAAGCAGACATGATTATTTGGGTTGGGAAGGAAAGGACAAAATCTGAAAAAACTGACTTACCAGGCTATGTCCATTTATGACTAATGCATAGTCACCATCGACAATTTCTTCCAAGACTGAGCTCTGCTTTGATTCTTGCTTTTTTTCACAACTTGCATGACCATTGGAAAGATCTTTGCTTTGTCCAAACAAATGTTCTTTCACTTTCCTTAAAAGAAGAAAAGAATGTGTTATTCTTAATTTTAATTAGACAATGATTTAAGCTAATTTCAGTTCTGCTGTTCTCATCTATCTACTACTAGATCCAAGGTCCTTCCTTGTCTGGCACCCTCAGGACCTTACTCGTCCAGAATGAGGGAATTAGTTGGATATGGGGAGGTCCTCTGCCACTGACCTCCCAGGATGCTCCCCCTGCCTGCTGTTGGCTCTGCTCTGACCCCACTGCCACTGGGCTCCAGCCTGAAGGGCTGGCTTGGACTTGGGCTCTGATGTGCTAGTGCTCTCCAGGATGGAGCTCCCCCAGCCTCCACCGGGGATCCCCGCCTTGGATGGGGCTCGTCTATCCAGCTGCTGCTCCGACTGGCTGGGACACCCCCTGGATGCAGTTCCCCAGCCGCATGGCCCCGCTTCTCCCCATCCCGACCAGGGTTCTCCAGGGACAGGGTTCACAGTCCCAGGCTCTGGGGCTCTCTGATCCAGCAACATCTGTAGTCCTGCCAGACCACAGATGTTGCCGAATCAGAGAATCCCGGATTTCAGAGGTTCAACCTGTATATATTTCAGAAACTTTGTCTGTTTGTTCAAGAACCCCTAAATAGTAAGAGCTAAGACCACCACATTTGGCATGCAGCTTCTTATCATAACTTAAAGCAAGGTCAGGATTTGGTTGTGCCAGGAAAATGGGATGTGCCTAGAATGGGATTGCTTCCCATAAAGCCATACAGAAAAGAGACATAATCACCAGTCAGGTTAAAGGGGCTGGTCTCGGAGCATGCTGCACCTGTCTGGAACAACCTCATCCCTGAGCCAAGCACCTTTTGGGAGGGGACTGAAGCTTACCCCGATTCACATGGGAACACTGCTGGCTGTTCCCCCTTTTTAAGGGAGCATGGGGAAAGGGCACAATTTTCTGCATTCCTCACTCTGACTGGGGAACACGGGGGGCAGATGTGCTGTGTACTATGCTCTTGCTTCCAGTTTTTGAAAAATATAATCATTTAAATAAAGCACGTACATTTCCTTTTATTTAAAAAAAGAATTGAGTTAAGGACCTGGATAAATGTGCTAATGTATCAGAAGCAGCAAGGAGGGGAGCAGGAGCTGGTGCCGATGAGGAGCTGGCATTAAGCAGGCTCCCCAGGAGCAGTGGTGCCACTTACCCCTCCCCCCCCCACACACACACATTCTTTCGAGAGAGGAATGCAAATGCAGTCAAGCAAAATTGCAAATGCAGCACGGATTTGAATTTCCCGTGCTTCTGGTGCATATTGTGTCCGGCCACTTTTTCAAAATACCCTATTTTGAGATAAAAAACACTGTGTAGACACGGTTATTTTGAAAGAAACCCCTTCTTTTGAAATAACCCTTAAACCTCACTTTTTTAGGAGTAAGGGTTATTTTGAAAGAAGGGGTTTCTTTTAAAATAACCACATCTACACAGCATTTTTTATCTCAAAATAGGATATTTCGAAAAAGTGGCCAGACGCGATTATGCAAATGAAGCACGGGAAAATCAAATCCACACTTCATTTGCAATTTCGCTCAGCTGCATTTGCATTCTGCTCTTGAAAGAGAAATGCAGTGTAGACATACCCTTCCACTGCTTACTAGGCTTTTAGAAGACATTTAGAGGTAAATTAGTGCTAAATAACAGCACAAAACACTGAGTGAGGCCTGGTCTGTACTGGGACCTTAGTCTGAAATAACTCCCCTAAAGTCGAATTTGTAAGCAATCAATCCACACTACCAAGCCTATTATTCTGTACTCCTGCTTTTCATGAGGAATAACACTATTCCCAAACTTGTAAGTCTGAAATTACATTGGTGTGGACACTCTGGTGCTTCCTGGAGCTCTGAATCTGAGGCAGCATGTCCATAGTCTGAGGCAGGCTATGTTAATATGAAGCAAAATGCAGGACAATGTAGCACTTTAAAGACTAACAAGATGGTTTATTAGATGATGAGCTTTCGTGGGCAGAAGTGGGTCTGCCCACGAAAGCTCATCATCTAATAAACCATCTTGTTAGTCTTTAAAGTGCTACATTGTCCTGCATTTTGCTTCATATTAACATAGCCTGCCTCAGACTATATCTGATGCTTCCCTGTAGTGTGGACCCGGGACTTCAAATTTGTAAAGTCGAATTTAGTTAATTAGAAATAATCTTCTAGTGTAGGCATGGCTTAAAAGACAAAACTGGTGGCTGTAAATAAACGTTATAGGACTGTGGAAAACTTAGCCACACCCATGATAAGTGAACATCTGGCTAATTTAAATCATGCTGAACCACAAATGTTGCTAGACTGGAGAGTACCAGACTAGAAAGGTTCAATTTGTATTAAAAACTTCAGTGGAGGGAGAAATTTGAAAACTCTTAAGTCTCTTTGGCTTGAAAGAGAGTTTGTTTCAGAACATCAACTAAGAAAATAACCACTACCTACACAGAGTTAAAAGTTAGAGGCAACAGGCCACTTGCTCCATTAGAAAGTTTAGATAGATAATTCTCCCCATTGATAACATCTCTAAACAAATCTTTTCACTTCAGTGACATAGCATACTGTGCATGCAGACTTCCTAGATGTGTTTCTCAGAAACAAATATGAAAATGTATGGGTTCCCTGTTTTATTAAGTCCTTTTCTAGTCAGCATTAATGACTTAATTTCTGCTTTTCTTTATCAGTAGCATATTCCAAAAAGAGTAAAATGCAAGCCAGGATTTACTTGTATTCAGTGATGTCCTCAGATACATGCTGGAATTCATATGGGTTTACATATCTGAGAGAAGTACTGTATTTTATGAACTAAAGCTTTTCTTCTACACCATCTGATAACTGGAATCACATACGCATATATAGTTATTTACATATGTGTACTACATCACCCAACTCTTTGACAATCTTTTGTCTATTCAAACCATGGTACACATTTGTATCTCATTTGTTCCTATCATCCATATTTCTAAGGCTATATCTGTACTGCACTCTAAACTCGAAATAAGATACACAATTTGCACTATGCAAATTACATAGCTTATTTTGAGTTTATTTCAAAATAAAGTGCTATTTTGAGACATCCCTTAACCCTCGTGGAATGAGGGTTACTGGGATGCCGAAATAGCGCGCCCATTATTTTGAAAAATATTTCGAAATAACAGGTGGCTTGTGAAGATGTGGGGTAGCTATTTCGGGATTCTTCTGGTATCCCAAAATCACTTTGATGTGTAGACATAGCCTCAGATTTTAAAAAGTATACATCGTTTACTCTGATTCACCATGTCCATATTTGGTTCCCCCACAGCTTTCTTTCTTGAACCCTGGCCTCAAGCTCTATGAGTGATTTTCACACTGGATTTCAACCCTCCACCTCTATGCCAAGCTCAACAATTCATACCCAAATTAATTCCTACATAAATAGTTTATGTAAAAATAGATCCCATGTTGACATAACTCATTTTATCAAGCAATATATAATGTATAATGTTTAATCAAAATACACAAATCACAAAGGCTAAAATAAAAGTGCTTGTTTACTTTAACTGTTGTATTATGTAGTTACCCATTATTCAGATTCAAGATGCATTAGTTACAGGAATAGGTTGGGACTGAAATGCCCAAACCTCTTGGCTGGCTCTAAAATACCAAGGGATAATTAGGTAAACTGATGCCTTGTTTGTCTGATACCCAAAATAGGCAAAAATTTTATGTCCGTGGTAATTATTGAAAAAATGCTATGCTTGGCTCTACTGCAAGTAGAAAAAATACACAGAAATGAAAAAGAGACTCAAATAAGAGAAGAGAACTGAAAAAGGAACACATTTTTAAACTTAAAGGAGGAAAAAAGGAAGGGAGAGAAAGATATGGCCTACCCAACAATCTATTCAGTATGCATCTGGAAAATGTGAAAGGATGCTACTTCCCGAAAGACAGGGTTCTAGTAATAATTTATATTGTGCTCTAATCTATTCCAATTAAGGAAATTTGCATAAAAATCCAACATTAAAATCATTATGCCATCTATGAGTATTATTCAAAAAGTCACAGCTGTCACATTGAGTGAGAGAGAAGACAAGTGTGAGAAAGAAAGAAAGAAAGAAAGAAAGAGGTTGAGATCTATGCCATGCAAATCGTGGCATATGGACCATGAAATCTTTGTCCTTCTGTGAAATCTGGCCTTTTGTGTGCTTTTACCCTATACTATACAGATTTCATGGGGGGAGACCATCATTTCTCAGATTGCGGGGCCTGACCCAAAAGGGAATTCCAGGGGGAATCACAAGGTTATTTTAGGAGGCTTATGTATTGCCACCCTTACTTGTACACTAGCTTCAGAGCTGGACAATTGGAGAGTGGTGATTGTAATGTTGGCCATGAGCCTAGCTCTAAAGGCAGCACCTTGCCAGCAGCAGTGCAGAAGTAAGGGTGGCATGACTATACCCATGTCACCCTTTCTTCCTTACTGCTGCTTTCAGAGCTGGGTGGCCAGACAGTAGTGGCTGCTAAAGGCCCAGCTCTGCAGGCAGCAGCACAGAAGAAAAGGTGGCAACACCATAAAATACCATTCTTTTACTTCTGTGCTGCTGGTGGTGGCGGCTTTGCCTTCCTGCTCTGCTTCTTTCAGAGCTGGATTCTCAGCAATCAGCCACCATTCTCCATCTGCCCAGCTCTGAAGGCAATGCTACTGCCAGCAGCTGTGTAGAAGTAAGGGTAGCAATACCGCAGCTCCTATACAGTAACCTTGCAAGCCCTCTACACAATTACAACACCATGACATTTCAGATTTAAATATTTGAAATAGTGAAATTTACCGTGTTTAAAATCCCATGACCATGAAATTGAGCAAAATGGTTTGTGAATTTGGTAGGCTCCTTAAATAAAGGTAATAAATGGACAAGAAGGAACCAAGTAGTGAGGTGGTACAGGATGGGATCCATGAATATGTAACCCAACAGAGTACTGCTATCACAAATTTCTGATTATAAGCATAAAGGTGCATGAACACCTACAGTAGAGCATGCACAGGGACAGCACTCAAAGAAGAACCCATGCCCTATCAGCATAGAGGGGGAGGCAACTAGTACTCTAGCTTGGAGTCTGGAGTACTAGCCTCAAGAAGCTGGCTTTTTGTCATCAGATAAGCATGCTGTCACACTTCTCCGACAACTTCTAGAACTTTAACAGATGGAATGTTAAGGAAAGATTTGTAGCATCACAGGGAGGGAGTCTAATTGTAGTATTTTGTCTGCATGAAAGAATAATACAATATATTTTAAATGTGTATTTACCTGAGTTCTTCACGCACTTCCGTTACCGTGTGACCAGCCACTATGAAAATCTCATTCATGGTATCAGTGAGTATGTGGCAGGAGTAACCAACATTCATGGCAGTTTCTGAGAGACAATATTATCAGTTTTGCTTAGCATAGTTATATTAAAATAATTACTTATTTATTTTGTAATGTCAACAGAGCATACTGAGAATACAGCAATATCATAATTAGAGTAATTCTCTAAGGGTATGTCTACACAGCAAAGTTATTTCGAAATAACAGCCATTATTTCGAAATACTTTCCTAGTGTCTATACAAGCAACTGCTATTTCGAAATTAATTCGAAATGGTGGAGGGCTTATTTCAAAATTGGTAGACCTCATTCCACAAGGAATAGCACCAATTTTGAAATTGCTATTTTGAAATAAGCACTGTGTAGACGCTTATTAGGGGGCTTCCAGCCCTTTCCCAGAGTGGCCTGCTGTCTGCCCTGGCCACAAGGTAACTTCTGACCTGATGCCCTACCAGAACAAGTTCTGGCTGGTCTTAAATGCAATTCAGTGTCCAATCAGTGTGAACGTGCTATTTTGAAATAACTATTTCGAAATTAGATATTTCAAAATAATGCTGTAGTGTAGACATACCCTAACATAATTACTAGCTTTGATATAAATGTATTACTAAAATGTACCTTTCTCTGAGCTATATTTTATAGATATTCTTTATAGTGCATTAGTGCTTAAAGTCCAACTGAGATCAGAGCCCTATTGTTGTAGACACTTGTTCAAAAAGTTTCTAAATAGAAACAGAGGTTTCTAAATAGAAACAGCCAAGAACAAAGTGGGAAGGGAAACTGAGGCACAGGAAAGCAAAACAACTTGCCCTATTCAAACAGAAGATCAGTGAAAAAAGAAGAGATTAGAACCAAGTATCTCAACTCCTAATTCAATGCTTTATCTGCTAGATCACATTGCTTGCCATGTGAGGTGTATTTTTCTATCCAGTGGAAATTACCTATAGGCAACTAGTCTTGTGCACTAACAAAAACTGATTTAACCCTGATAGGATCATCATTAGAAAAACCATAAATGCTATTTAATTATCTATTTGTAGAGCTTGTTTCTGAAATAAAAATGCTCAAGTACACATGTTCCACTGAGAGCATTTTTAAATTTCCACTGGGCACCGGTGGCAAGTGCCATATCCAAATAATTTGAGACCCAAACAAATACTAAGTTTATGCGGAGAGAACACTGCCTCAAAGGCCATAGGCTACAGGAACTCTCCTCTGTTAAGGTGGATGGTGTTCACCAGGAGATCCAACAGTCACTGCATTGCCATACTCTTGGCATGCCCATGCACAACTCAGCCGTATCTGCATTGTACATCAAGCTCATTAGCATTCTTCTTTATTAATAATTTATTAATTTTAAATGAAAATAATGTTCAGGGAATGGGCTCCCTGAGCACCATACAAGGGAACTGTGGAAGTCTCACTACTTATGGCTTTCTGTCACCCCACGTTTTCACCCCCAAAATTACACATTATTAATGAATTACCTTGCTTGTCTCCTGTTAGAATCCAGATCTTAATGTTCGCTAGTGATAAACTGGCAATTGTTTCCGTGACTCCTTCTTGTAACTTGTCTTCTATAGCAGTGGCACCTAGTAACTTTGTAAGGAAGCAGAACATTTAAAGTGACTTTCAACAAACTTTGCAAATAATTTTCACCAGCAACTAGAACTGGGAAATATAAATAGGACACATTACATTGTTTTATACATCTACAGATAGATAATATCAAATCAAACTTTAATACAATATAATACCCTTGACGTGCACTCACAGCTTCTATTGAGAGCAATGGAATTTTCTCCAAGTCTAAAGGCAGTCTACAGTGTAATTTGCATCAAGAACTACATAACCCATAGTTTCAGGGCAAGCTCGCCAGGGGATCCCCCGGTTGTGGGGACAGAGAAGCAGAGCTGAAGCCCTTTTCTTGCCCAACAGGCTAGCAGCAGACCTAGAATTGTCTACAGAATCTTCTAGGTTGTAGTTTCAACTTACTGGGTTGAAACTTGCTTACTAGATACTGGTTAACCAGTGTGTAGGAGCAGCCTGCTGTGAATGGAAGGCTGCCCCAGTGGGGCTAAGAGCTGGCAGCAGCCCCCCCAGCACAGGGGCCATGGCCGGAAGCCTCCAAGCACCAGCGTTGGTGGCAGTCCCAATGCCAGTGCCAGTGCCAGTGCCAGTGCCAGTGCCAGGGCTAGGGCCAGGAGCCACCAGCTGAGCCCCTGGGCTGAGGCTCGGAACCTTTGGCCACCGGCAGCAGTGGCAGCCTGGGGCTGGGAGTCTCCTGCCCCCGGAGGTGGTGGTGGCATCCCAGGGGGTAGGCCCAGGAGCTTTCTGCTGCTGGCAGTGGCAGCAGCAGCCCCAGCCCTGGGAGCCTGCTGTTGGCGGTGGCAGCAGCCCCAGTCCCATAGCCAGGGATCCCACTCAGACAATTAACTGGATTAATCAGGATTTTACATCTCTACTCTTAATATGGCTATATCTCTATATCAGCCTCAACCAAAGGCATCCTTATGGGGATGGGATGACCCTGAGGCTCTGACTGGCTGATTAATCACCTGTGAAGCTGGGCTTAGAGGGAACAGTGATGGGGACTCACTACTGACCATCACCAGAAAAGTCAGTAGCAAACAGTTTATGAGCCCTATTTTGATAGGAATTTCTTTCAGTTAAAAAATTAGACTAGTTCTAATCACCATAAGCATTTGTAAGGCCATACAGCACTTTACAATAAGGCTCCTATACACCATTTAATGTAAAGGAACCTTAAAGTGTTTACACCTGTTTTACACTCCTCTGGAATTCAATAAGAAAAATGGGAACAATTCACTAAGCAGGCAGGTTGCTACATTCCTCTCTATCTGAGGGGACACAGCCTGCCCCAAATCTATCTCCTCAGAAACACCCCAAACCTATGCCCCAGCATGCCACGCTTGCCTCAATCACAGAGGGTATGTCTACACTACCCTCCTAGTTCGAACTAAGAAGCCTAGTTCGAACTACCGGTAGTTCGAACTAGGAGGGTAATGTAGGCATACCGCACTTGCAAATGAAGCCCAGGAAATTCAAATCCTGGGCTTCATTTGCAAGTGCGGTATGCCTACATTACCCTCCTAGTTCGAACTCGGAGGGTAATGTAGGCATACCGCACTTGCAAATGAAGCCCAGGAAATTCAAATCCTGGGCTTCATTTGCAAGTGCGGTATGCCTACATTACCCTCCTAGTTCGAACTCGGAGGGTAATGTAGGCATACCGCACTTGCAAATGAAGCCCAGGAAATTCAAATCCTGGGCTTCATTTGCAAGTGCGGTATGCCTACATTACCCCGCTAGTTCGAACTAGCGGGGTAATGTAGACAGACCCAGAGTGTCTCTCTTTTTCTCTCTCACATACATGACTGCCAAGCTCCCCTGCCCAATCCCGGCAGTAATTTTATGTCTCAACCACCTGCTTCGGGTGCTCAAACCAATCTGCCTGCACTGCTGGGAAGGGACTCCTGACTGCTCTTGTGGCTTCCCTTTACTTCCACATCAGAAGTAATTTTCCTGCAGGGAAGCAAAGAAATCTGTGAGGGCTGTGAATTCTGCACATACAGCAACACAAAATTCCCCCAAGAGTATTTAACTGAATATATTACATATTGAAAGTTGTCTTTCTGTTTACAAAGCACCACAGATTATGTTTTCTAAAATGGAACATACATGTGACCTGATGAGTATTTTAGGGGAATTTAAAAGAAAATCAGGTTAATTTATATTTAAAATGAGTCATTAACCATGGAAAAAAATCCCCTCACTGATTGCCTCGACTATTTTAAAGCCTAACCACAGCTGGCCTAGACATTCATTGGTGTCCTTTTTAACAAAGAGAGGCACTGATTGAATGTGAGCATATATCAAGACCACAGCAGTCTTGCTTGCAGCACAGAATCAGGAACATAAAAAGATATGAAAGTATTAATCTATGGGTACGTCTAGACTACAGGCTTTTGTCGACAGAAGTTTTGTCAAGAGATACTGTCGACAAAGCTTCTGTCGACAAAGAGCAACTAGACTACATCCAGTTCTGTCGACAAAGCAAGCCGCTTTGTCAATAGGACAGTGTAGACGCAAAGGATGGTGTGGATGCAATAACGCCTTCTGTCGACAGAACTCTGTTGACAAAAGGCATTATTCCTCGTAGAATGAGATTTACAGCCGTTGACAAAACTGCTGAGTTCTGTCGACATTATGTCAACAGAACTCAGCAGCAGTGTAGACGCAGGTATAGCTGTCGACAAAAGTCCACTTTTGTTGACAAAACCGTGTAGTCTAGATATACCCTCTAATACAGCATCACATTGCAAATACACTTTTCCTGTGCTGTATCTCTCAGAACATACCATCATGTCTCTTTCAATCTCTTCATATGCTGCAGGAAATGAAGTGTTTGCCTCCTGAAGTATTGTAAACCACTCTTTAAAGTGCTCTTCAGTCAAGTTTTTGTATGCAAGGGCTAAGGTCCGAAGGCCTTCTCCAGCAAACTCCTATCACATAAAAATAAAAGATGAGCAGTATCTATGGGAACTAAAGTAGTCATAACCAGATGATATTAATTTCTCACTCTCTTAACATCTACATTGATTATGGAGTCAATAAGCGAAGATATTCTAAGATACCATGAAAAAAAATTCTCATAATCCTTGTTTCTACAGGATTTTAATGCTTCTTCCTTTTACTTAAGGTTGTAGGCAATTTTCTACTTATAGCTAGATTTTGTTCTTTAAAAAATAACTTTAATGATTGGTGATAATTTTTATGTATACGAATATTCTAACAAAGATTTGTAGTTTCTAATATTATGTAATGTCAGATACAAATTAAAAAATGGAACAATGTTAATAAGAGAAATGTTGCATCAGAGCTGAATATGAATCAGTATCTAGGTATTAAACTGATGAAGGATTTAATCTTGAAAAGCAGCTAATGTGCCCAGACTACTCTCTTTAGCACAATTAACTAAAATACTTAGCACATTTTGGGTGCTACCACAATGTAAACAATAAATAATAATGTTCATTGTGTACATTATCACAAATCCATCATCTTAAAAGCATAATACCCAAGTAGGTATCAGTGGAAGAACTATAAGAAGCTGGACTGTAAAGTAGGAGCAGAAATGTCTCAAACAGGACCTCATTATCTCCAGCCTGATTCTGGCCTGAATATTTATACCTGCCTCTGGAAATTTCCACCACATGCATCTGATGAAGTGGGTCTTTACCCACAAAAGCTTATGCTCCAACACTTCAGTTAGTCTATAAGGTGCCACAGGTCTCCGTGCCGCTTTTGCAGATTCAGACTAACACGGCTACCCCTCTGATACTCAAACAGTATGTTAATCATAATGGTTGCATGACATAGTATTATGGTTCAGGGTGCTACCAATTTGTTATGCTTAGGGCACTACCAAATTCACAGTGCACTTTGATCATTTTCATGGTCATAGGATTGTTAAAATAATACATTTCATGATTTCAGCTATTTAAACCTGAAATTTCATGATGTTGTAGAGGCCCTAACACCCCCCCCCCAAAAAAAAAGAATTGTGGGAGGGGGAGGTTGCAAGGTTATTGTAGAGGTGGGTGTGTGTTCATGTTAACCTTACTTCTGTGCTGTTGCTCATGTTGGAGATGCCTTAAGAGCTGAGCATCTGGACAGCAGTGGCTGCTGGCTGGAAGCCCATTTCTGAAGACAGAGCAACAGCAAGCTGAAGTGCAGAAGTAAGGACAGCGTGGCATTGCCACCCTTACTTCTGTGCTCCTGCCTGTAGCGCGAGGCCCTCAATCAGCAGTCAGCTCTGCCGAAGTGCCCAGGCCTGAAGGCAGCAGCATAAAAATAAGGATAGAAAGGTATAGTATTGCCACTCTTACTTCTGCACTGCTGGCGGGGCATGGCTTTCAGAAGTGAGCATCTAGCCAATGGCCATCACCAGTGTTCCTTCTAAGCAGCGTGGCAGCACAGCATCACCAGTGATTAATCAGCCATGCCCAGTCAGCCCTGTGCACAGAGCCCTGAGCCTCTGACTGGACAGGGCTGATTAATCACTGGTGATGCTGTGTTGCTGTGCAACTTAGAGGGAACACTGGCCACCACTGTCTGGCTGCCCAGCTCTGAAGTCAGTGCAGAAGTAAGAGTGGCAATACCATGATCCCCCCAAAAATAACCCTCCTAAAATAACCTTGTGACTCCCCTATAACTCTCTTTTGGGTTAGGACTCCCCAATTTGAGAATGGTCTCCCGACTGAAATCAGTATAGATTAAAACACACACAAAAAGACCAAAGTTCATGGAGGGAGACCAGTTTTGACAGTCTGTAACATGTTTTTCATAGCCTTGAATTTGGTAGGGCCCTAGATATGCTGACAACAAAGGCCTTAGAGTGAATGAGAGTTGTGGCTGAGTGAACCACACTAGGGCTACGTCTAGACTACATGCCTCTGTCGGCAGAGGGATGTAAATGAAGCACTTCAAAAGTGCAAATGAAGCCGGGATTTAAATATCCCATACTTCATTTGCATAAGCATATAATGGTGGTCTTTTGAAAAAGCGCTATTTTGAAATTAAAACCACAGTCTAGATGCGTTTTTTTCGAAAACGGGGCTCATTTTTTGAGGTTTACAGGATCTTTCGAAAAAGAGCCCCGTTTTCAAAAGAACCTGTGTGTGGGTGTGTGGGTTACAGCTGCCCAGAATCCAAATTTGAAATCACTGGCCAAAACTCACAGATATGCATACATACATTAACAGGTTAGGTCCTTCAACCTAAAGAAACAGATATAAAACTAACAACCCAAGACTTAAAAAGAATAAAAACAAAATTCTCTGATATGTTATTAGCTCATGCTAATTAATTGAGACTCTGATCCTGTATCAGGATCGCCTGGAGCAGATTGCTCAGCTCATGCAGAATCCCATTATTTCTTTAATATAAAAATGATTGCATACATGATGTTATTCAGAATGCACACATTCTTACAGATCACACAGCATATTAGATAACTTTATTATCCAAATTACATTCCCTCGTTCATATCTTAGAATTTCAACGACTGACTTTTTTCGAAGTCTAACAACTATGATGAGCAATTTTACTGCTAAAAAACAAAAACATTTCAGGAACTGCAGCTCATCTTACCAAATAAAATGGTTTATGGTGCTTCACTAACAATATTTTTCATCTTCAGTGAATATTTGAACATCCCATGTTCTTTTATAGCACTATTACAATTAATTTATAAGCAAGAATGAAAAACTTTAATTTAATTGACTGAAAAAACAATAAGGCTTTGGAATTAAATTAATATAATGGAAAGAGAAAATTAGAGTGATGTGAACAAAAAACCATAACACTGCAATATATAAGTACACATTCCTTAACTTTACTGGGCAAGTATGAAAATTCAAGGTCTTAGTATTTGAGCAATTGTAAAAATCATATGTGTGTGAATCCAGCCTTGCTTTCATAAAAACCATGTTGGCCTTCTGGAAAAGATTAAAAGAAAGCCAAGAAAGCTCTATTACAGAGATGAAAACAATAGTTATGTTTGTAACCAATATTACTAAACCATCATACTGTATACTTAATGTCAAAGGAGTATTTTTAAAAGAAGCATGGAATGGTTTGTATTAAATATGGACACTTACAAAGAACATGAATTCTAAAAAAATAAATGAAGGAAATGAGAGCTTTATCCAGTTTCCCTTAAAGTTCACATTAGGTTAGACCCTAAAATTGAATAAAAGAGACCTATTTTCTTTAACAGCATAGTACCAAACTGGATACTTTGTATCCACATTCACAGATTCCCATTGACTTTTCACAATGGACTCAAAGGCATAGGATACCTGACAAACACCCTAAATATACCAGCTGTTTCAGGAGTTAACTGTGCAACTGAAAAGATTTGTCACTTAACTGGATTCCTCTTTCTGCGAAACCAAATGAGGCTGAAATTTAAGAAATTCTGGCTCATTTCATAGCAGAAGGCCTATTACGGTATGGAAGCAGAAAGCATCTGTATTTAGGAAAGTACTTAAGCACATGTTTAACTCTAAACTTAAGTCCCTAGATGCATGCTTAATGTTAAGTGTGTGGTTATGTACTTTTTTGCATCAGTGCACATACCTCAAGATGATCTGATGTCAAAGACATTAATTCTTCATTGGAGGGATGAAGTCTCTCAAATAAAATGGTATCTGCTCCCTTGCAATAAAGTTTTATCTGCCCATCTGGGGTTTGAACTGAATAAGAGAAGAGAAGTAGAAATTTAGACTGACAATTACTTTTCTTCAATTTTCTTCAAATGTTTATTTGGCCTACCAGGTCTAGTTAGATGTTCTCTATATATACTAATAGAAATACAGCAGTCTGCACATAGAGAAAACAATCCCATCACCTGGGTAGGAGTTGAGTACAGTCCCTGTACACTCTAAAAATTAACAGAACATATCATTGGTATTTTTTCAGCCAGAGACTGGGCAAAAACTGGAGCCTCTCAAAACTGAACTTCTTTGAATCCAAGGGGTAGCTGTGTTAGTCTGAAGCTGCAAAAGCGGCGAGGAGTCCTGTGGCAGCTTATAGACTAACTGAAATGCAGCATAGGTAGAGAAGGGGTGTAAGTGGACGAAATGGCAATGAACGAATAATGCACTATTGCCCATAAGCAGTGGAATTTCTTTAATTAATATTGACTTAAACTTCATTAAAAACTGATTCAGTGCAGTAAAACAGATTGCCAGAACTAAACCCAAAATGCATATATTCAAATGTCCTATTAAAATAAAACTAAAATGTTGATGAGCACACACAGCACAGCCATTAAAAATAATTTTCATTAAAAAAGATATGTGGGGGCTGCATGTTATTACATGGGACATTTGCATACTGCAGTGCAGAACAACAGGCACCTGGAGGATAAATAAATAGTAGCCATGTAAATAGCAATAACCGTATCTAATAAAGAATCCACCCTTTGATTGTGGCAAAAAGGAATTTATATAAGCAAAATGGAAGTGAAAAAATATTTTTCACTGACTAGAAAGTTGCTGCTGACATGGCAGTTATAAACCAAGTTAATTTCAGGCACAAAATAAAGCTGTGGTAAACCTCAGGTAATTAAAACAGATCATGTAATTCTTACTTAATTAAAATATATGCCAATTCCAACAGCATAGGGCTAGGAGATTGACTGACAAAGACAGAACTGTTCTTACAGTATTCAGCAAAGAGAAGTGAGGGAAATAAAAAAGAAAACAAAGAAACTGCTAATAAAATAAATATTTCCAGTATACTTTAAAAGCGACGAGGAGTCCTGTGGCACCTTATAGACTAACTGAAGTGTAGGAGCATAAGCTTTCGTGGGCAAAGACCCACTTCGTCAGATGCATGTAGTGGAAATTTCCAGAGGCAGGAATAAATATGCAGGCCAGGATCAGGCTGGAGATGACCAGGTGGATCCAATCAAGGAGGATGAGGCCCACTTCTAGCAGCTGATCTGGAGGTGTGAATTCCAAGAGAATAGAAGCTGCTTTTGTAGTTAGCAAGCCATTCACAGTCTTTGTTTAATCCAGAGTTGATTGTGTCAAACTTAAAGATGAACTGTAGCTCAGCAGTTTCTCTTTGAAGTCTGGTCCTGAAGTTTTTTTGCTGCAGGATGGCTACTTTTAGATCTGCAATTGTGTGTCCAGGAAGATTGAAGTGTTCCCCTACAGGTTTTTGTATGTTGCCATTCCTAATATCAGATTTGTGTCCATTGATTCTTTTACGTAGGGACTGTCCTGTTTGGCCGATGTATATAGCAGTGGGGCATTGTTGGCACATGATGGCATATATTACGTTGGTGGATGTGCAGGAGAATGTACCAGTGACAGTATGGCTGGTCTGGTTAGGTCCTGTGATGGTGTTGCTGGTGTATATATGTGGGCAGAGTTGGCACCGAGGTTTGTTGCAAGGATTGGTTCCTGAGTTCGAGTTATTATGGTGCGGTGTGTAGTTGCTGGTGAGAATATGCTTCAGGTTGGCGGGTTGTCTGTGGGCAAGGACCGGCCTACCTCCCAAGGCCTGTGAGAGCGAGGGGTCATTGTCCAGGATGGGCTGAAGATCACTAATGATGCGTTGGAGAGGTTTTAGCTGGGGACTGTAGGTGATGGCCAGTGGTGTTCTGTTGGTTTCTTTCTTGGGCTTGTCCCGTAGCAGGAGGCTTCTGGGTACACGTCTGGCTCTGTCAATCTGTCTCCTCACTTCCTCGTGTGGGTATCGCAGTTTACAGAATGCTTGTTGAAGGTCTTGTAGGTGTAGGTCTCTGTCTGAGGGGTTGGAGCATATGCGGTTGTACCTCAGTGCTTGGCTGTAAACAATGGATCGTGTGGTGTGTCCGGGATGGAAACTGGAGGCATGCAGGTAAGTATAGCGGTCGGTAGGTTTTCTGTATAGGGTGGTATTGATATGACCGTCACTTATTTGTATCGTGGTGTCCAGGAAATGGACCTCCCGTGTAGATTGGTCCATGCTGAGGTTGATGGTGGGGTGGAAGCTGTTGAAATCATGGTGAAATTCTTCCAGAGTCTCCTTCCCATGGGTCCAGATGATGAAGATGTCATCGATGTAGCGTAGGTAGAGAAGGGGTGTAAGTGGACGAGAGCTGAGGAAGCGTTGTTCCAGGTCAGCCATAAAAATGTTGGCGTATTGTGGGGCCATGCGGGTGCCCATAGCAGTGCCACTGGTCTGGAGGTATATGTTGTCACCAAATCTGAAATAGTTGTGTGTGAGGATAAATTCACAGAGTTCAGCCACCAGTTGTGCTGTGGCATCATCAGGAATACTGTTCCTGACAGCTTGTACTCCATCTGCATGTGGGATGTTTGTGTAGAGAGCCTCTACATCCATGGTGGCTAGGATGGTGTTTTCTGGAAGATCACCTATGCATTGTAGTTTTCTCAGGAAATCCGTAGTGTCACGAAGGTAACTGGGAGTGCTGGTGGCGTAGGGTCTGAGCAGAGAGTCCACATAGCCAGACAGTCCTTCAGTAAGAGTGCCAATGCCCGAGATGATGGGGCGTCCGGGATTTCCAGGTTTGTGGATCTTGGGTAATAGATAGAACAACCCTGGTCGGGGCTCTAAAGGTGTGTCGATTTGTTCCTGTGTTTGTTTGGGGAGTGTCCTGAGCAGATGGTGCAGTTTCTTAGTGTATTCCTTAGTGGGATCTGAGGAAAGAGGCCTGTAGAATTTGGTATTGGAGAGTTGTCTGGCAGCCTCCTTTAGGTAGTCAGGCCTGTTCATGATGACAACAGAACCTCCTTTGTCAGCTTCCTTGATTGTAATGTCAGAGTTATTCCAGAGGCTGTGGATGCCATTGCGTTCTGCACGACTGAGGTTACCAGGCAAGCGATGCTGTTTTTCCACAATTTCTGCCTGTGCACATCGGCGGAAGCATTCTATGTAGAGGTCCAGACTGTCATTTCGGCCCTCAGGAGGAGTCCATGTGGAGTTCTTTTTCTTGTGCTGTTGGTGGGAAGGTATCTGTGTGTCAGTGCATTGTTGAGTATTGTGTTGAAAGTATTCCTTGAGACGGAGACGGCGAAAGTAGGCTTCCAGATCACCACAGAACTGAATCATGTTAGTGGGGGTGGCGGGGAAAAAAGAGAGTCCCCGAGATAGAACAGACTTTTCTGCTGGGCTGAGAGTGTAGTTGGAGAGATTGACGATATTGCTGGGTGAGTTAGGGGTACCATTGTTGTGGCCCCATGTGGCAGGTAGGATTTTAGACAGCTTACAGTCCTTTTTCCTCTGTAGAGAAGTGAAGTGTGTAATGTAGATCTCCTGTCTTGTTTTAGTAAAGTCCATTTGTGCAGAAGGTTGGTGTTTTATGAGAGACTCCAGATTGGAGAGCTCTTTTTTGATGTTTTCCTGTTTGCTGTACAGGATGCTGATCAAGTGGTTCCTCAGTTTTTTAGATAGTGTATGGCATAATCTCTCACTGTAGTCTGTGCAGTATGTAGATAGCAATGGATTTTTCACCTTCAGTCCATTTGGTATAATGTCCATCTGTTTGCATTTGGAGAGAAAGATGATATCTGTTTGTACTTGTGCAAGTTTCTTCATGAGGTTGATAGATTTCCACTCCATACGGCTAAATGCAGTGACTTGCATGGTGTCAAGTATCAGAGGAGTAGCCGTGTTAATCTGAATCTGCAAAAGCAGCAAGGAATCCTGTGGCACCTTATAGACTAACTGAAGTGTGTCTATAAGGTGCCACAGGACTCCTCGCCTCCTTTGAATCCCTGGATCTGAAACCTCCCCAACAGTGTTGTTTATAGAACAGGTTTTTCTGTTTCTGTGCCCTTAAAGCCTCACAACAGCAGATGAGCTTGTAAGATTCCAACATTTGGGGGTAGTATATCACAAAAGATTTGCAAGATATTGCTATGTTCAAATTTGATCGAAACTTACTCCTAATTAAATTTCAAACACAACCCTTGAACTTTAGTCTAAGTAATCTACATCTAAATCCAAACTCTGGCATTCTCAGTCCATCTTTAGTTATCATACACAACCATTCTCCAAAAAATCTTCACAGAATCATAGAGAAGTAGGATTGGAAGGAACCTTGAAAGACCATCTGATCTAGTCCCCTGCACTGTGCAGTACTAAGTATTATCTATTCTAGACCATTCCTGACAGGTACTTGTCTAACCTGTTCTTAAAAACCTCCAATTGCAGAGATTCCAAAACCTCACTAGGCAATTTGTTCCAGTTCTTAACTACCCTTAAAGTTAGGAAGTTTTTCCTAATATCTAACCTAAATCTCCCTTGTTGCAATTTAAGCTCATTATTTCTTGTTCTGTTTTCAGTGGCTAAGAAGAACAATTTATCACCCTCCTTCATCTATCCTGTTATCCCCCCTTCACATCTTCTCTTCTCCAATCTAACCAAATCCAGGTGGGTTTTCTTCTATCTTTTCTTGTATGTCACGTTTTTTAGACCTGGATTTTTTTGTTCTCTTCTCCGGATTCTTTCCAGTTTGACTTTCCTAAAGTGTGATGCCCAGAACTGGACACAGTACTCCTTATCAGACTTATCATTGCTGAGTACATTGGAAGAATTACTTCTCATGTCTTGCATACAAAACTCTTGCTAGTATGTTCCAGAATTATGTTTGCTTTTTTGTCAATAAATATTATGTTGGTGATTCATATTTACTTCGTGATCCGCTATAGCCTTACGATTCTTTTCTGCTGTACTCATTCCTTGGCTGTCATTTCCCATTTTATATTTGTGTAATTGATTAGTTGTTCCTAAGTATAGTACTTCGCATTTGTTACTGAATTTCATCCTATTTATAGCTCACCATTTCTCCAGTTTGTCAATATCAGTCTGAATTCTCACCTTGTCCTCCAATCCAGTTGCAACCTCTCCCAGTTTAGTAGTGTCCACAAAGTTTATAAGTGTACTCTCAATGCCATTGTCATTTATGAAGATTCACTTAATTCCTTTAATAATTATTGCAATTTCTCATTCTCTTTTTTTATGACACAGGTTAGATACAACGAGTATTCCTGTGGCTCCTTAGCAACTAACAAAAATATATATAGTATTATGAGCTTTCATAGGCAAAACCCACTTCTTCAGATGAGCTTCTGCATCATCTGAGTTTGTTTCTATTGGAATGAAGTACCATAACATGAACATCACTTTACAGCGCAGAACCCCTGAGGCAAAAGCAAGATAGCAAATAGTATATTATGAAAGATACTCAGGAAGAGAGTCCTGTGTAATCTCAGGGCAATAGCTTCTGAGAGCATGAGCAGTTGTATTTAATGAGATCAGGAAGGGCTCCAAAGGACTGATTAATTGTGGATGATGGTTTTCTACCTCAGAAAAGAAGTAGATATATACCAGTAAACCAGGCATTTTATAAATATATTATGGTGGATACAGAATCTGTTCTATAGAAACTTTTTAGGGCACTAATAACTCAAACATCTTGCAGTAAAAGCTTCAAACTTGCTTTTGCCTTTAATCCTCAGAGAGAACTAGTGTATAATGATATGTTTACCAAGTTAGAATTCAAGACTTTTTAGTTATTACTTTTGGTCTCCATATGTGTTTTAATTTTCATGAGAAAACTGGAGAATTTCACAAGCTCCACTTCATATAAGCAGGTGCTGTCTTTCTCATCTCATATTAAAAAAATGTCCAACCTTTTTCATGTGAAAACTCAATCAATAGATTTGCAAGTTTCTCTTGGTAATTTTTCTTTTAAAAATAGATGGGTTCTTAATAGTGCTTTATGTAAGGTTCATGGTTAATAGGTGGAAGGCAAGCAGAAATGTAGGATACAATTGGTATTGAAACTAGAATAGATCAGAAAAAAATTGTCCAAATTTTCAGCTTCATAAAAATTGAAACATTTTACAGAGTTGTGTCAATTTTGGTGAAATTAGGATGGAAACCGGGCAGGTCTCCAATGCAGCCCACCTGGTTTCCCACTTGCTTATCCATCTGCCTGATGGGATACAGAGAACCCTGGATCTCAGGCTTTCAGGTCCTTGATAGCCTTGCTCCGAGGATCCACCAGCTCCATAGCAACCCACCAGACCAAGCGCACCAGTCTATTTCAATAGAATTTTAAAATGTTTAGATTTTGTTCCAAATTGGAACCAAATGAAATTTCAAAATGTCAAAATCCTCCACAAAATGGAATTGCTTTTCTCCTCCCCCTCAGTTATGAGGAAGCAACTGTTTCTTGTTATTTAGCAGGCTCTTGTTTGTGTAGCTCCTTTCTGAGTAAAGGGGTTTAGCTTGGGAAGTAGCTTTCAGAAGATATTAAAACAATTCTGAGTCTGTTTTTCATCATGTCTTCCATTACCATCACTTTTCTTTTCTTCCGTTCTCTAGCCCTATTCATCTCTTCTTTCATTTTCCTTCATCTTTTCATCTGTCACCTGAACATGCTCTCTTGTCCACCGTCCCCTTTTTCTCTCCATCATAAGTGAATAAATTATTAAATGATTTACATTTTAGTCTTTGTTGTATGAAATTTTTCCTAGTCTTCTTTCTCCTTACATTTTCTAATTTCATCTGAAACGGAAAGCATTTAATATATACTATAGGGTTATAACAAATATTTCCTATTCTAAGCATAGGGGAAAACTGTGGTAAATGTTCTCGAAAGCTCACTTTTTCAAGGCAACAAATTAATCATGTCTTTGCAGACTTAGACCTTTTTTCTAGTCTTATTCTGAAAGCCAATTTTTATGTGGTTTTGAATCACACTCTACAAATTTTTTCCTATATACTTAATATTTATATTATTTAGTTGCTAATATAAATAATTTATACTTGTTTGATTACTGTAAAGTGCTTGATTAATAGAACTATGTAAAACCAATAAATCAGTACTAATTGTAAATCCCCATAGCTGCTAGTCACTTGCTCTACAGAAACAGAATGAAAAAAAGAGCAAAATAGTTTTTCAAATGCATTTCATTATCAATTTTACAGAAAACAAAATTAAATGTAGTTAATAAACTACTGCTTCTATGCTTTGCATCCTTTCATCCAAGGATCACAAATGTGTTTTACTAAACTGAAAAGTATTATAATCCCCATATTACAGATAAAGGCTATGTCTACACTGCAGGCTTCTTGCACAAGAAGCTTTTTGTGGAAGAGATCTTCCGCAAAAACTTCTTGCGCAAAAGCACATCCACACTGCAATAGCGCATCGGAAAAGCGATCTGCTTTTGCACAAGAGAGCTTCCAGACTGCATAGATGCTCTCCCACAAGAAAGCTCTGATTGCCATTAACAGAATGGCCACCAGGGCACCTGTGCTTCTTTCAATAGGCTGGTTTTGCACAAAAAAATCCTGCTGCCCATGCACACACACCTTTTTGCACAAGAGCTCTTGCTCAAAAAGGAGTTATTTCTCATAGAAAGAGGAATACCTATACCACAAAAACCCCTCTATTCTGTTGATTCACTGTAAATTTCTTGTGCAAAAACGTGCTTGAGATGTGGATGTGCCACGAGTTTTTGTGCAAAAACTCTGCACTGTAGACGTAGCCAAAGAAAGGCACAGTCTAAATTACTCCAAAGTACTGTGATTCTCTAGCAGAGGAGGAAGTGGCACCTAGAGATTCCTACTTCCTTCCTTTTTCTAACCATGAGACTAAATTAGTTAGCACTCTCACTGGTAGTTAAAGCCTAGCTGTTAAAGCCTAGTTAAAGCCACGCACAGCTAGGCTTTAACTACCAGTGAGAGTGCTAACTAATTTATGAAAGAAAGAAAGAAAAAAGAGAGAGCTATATTTTGTACCTATTACAGACATCCTTTTCCTGATATTGTTAAAATCCAGAATTGCTAAGAGCTGGTATGTAACAAGTTTGCCCATTTCTTCCACAGTTATAGTATCTGGGGTCCGAGACTTAAAAATGAAGCCAAAGTTTCTGGCAGCAGTTACTAGAGCACCTTCATCTGGCGACTGCACTTGGTAAATCAATTCGCCTACAAGGGAAAAAACAAATATTGTAAGTAACAGAGTCCTGAGCCATGAATTAATAGCTTCACTTCTAGCACATTAAAGATTAGCAATATTGAACAGTATTTCATAGCTGATACCCTTTACTGAATGGGGAACTTTACTGTCTGATTGCACTGATCCTTAGACTGGGGGAGAAGGGAAAAAGGGTGGGCAAATTTTCTATCACAAAACTTTGTGAAAGTATTTTTTCTGGGAACAAATCATTACATCACAAAATGCATCGTATGTGTTTGGGTATCTTTAATTCTCCATCAGTGCAACATAATGATGTGGTGTCAGCCATGAAAATAGTCTGTGGAGTTTAATATCAAAACTTAATTAAATGGCAAGCAAACCAAAATTTTGCCTCCTCTGTTGTCCAGGCCCTAGGTGCTACTGCCAGGAGGGCTCTGCTTTGGATGGCAAGCCTGCAAATGAAGTAAGACAACCGTGTGGGTTTTGGAAGAAACTTGTAGTGGATAAGTGGTCAATTTCTGAATGCTAGGGACAAAGATACATTCAGGGCAAGACTTTTCAGAGAAAGTCCATTCTATCCCTCAGCCTTGGGAGTGCTGTACAGTAATTACCATTAAGCATTTGATATTTCCATTAGCAGATAAAAATAACTTTACCACCAAACAAATTGAAAAGTCCCTTCTACTCAGGTAAAATGTTAAAGAATGTACTCAGCATATTTGAGCTTGATGCACTGCATGCATCAGTTGGCTTTATATACAGTAGAATCTTACAGGAATTTAGGTCTGGATAGAGTCCTAGATGTATAAACCTATAAGATATTGCACATGTAGATAAGGTCACTGGATCCATTTTTCAGATATAGTTACTTTAATATGTCGACATTTCTATATGTGGATACTCCACACTGAAGTTAAGGGGCAGTGTGTACTAAGATACACAGAAATGTATTGGAAGACCAGTTTTCACATTGTCATTCTGTAAATATGCACAAAAGATAGACCTTTTTTAACCATAAAAGGTCTTTCTGAAAAGGTCAAGAAATCTGTATGGTATCTAGCCAATAAACAGAAAGAAATGAGTAATTGCCTCGGAATCAAAGTTTAATCATCACTACAAAACCCATCTGAAGCCCTGCTACATGACAGACCCAGAAGCAGTCAGGTGGCACAAAAAATAGGAACTAAATTATTAACACTCAAGTGACCAAAATAGTCCCAAGAAGGAACTTTAAACTAGTGCAGATGTCTCCACTAAAAAAAACAAAACCAACCAAACAAAACTTTTTTTCATTCTGTGTCTTACTTCTGCAGTCCTGAGATTGCTATACAAAAGTAAAGAAAATTATAGTTAAAAGAAGAGTAAAACCAACTTTAATGAAATGGTACAAGTTGGAGAAATAAATTCCATGAAGTCAAGAAATTCAATACATTAATGAATCAAATTCTTCTCACTGCACTAGCAACAAAGTGTCCATGGACGTTGATGGAGATACAGCAGATTTACAGAGAGCAGAATTTGCCCCTTGTTTCTAAAAGTCTTAACTCAGTTTCAGTGCACATTCTATATATTTCATGCTGTACTGCAAATAAAACAAACAATATTAACTAATATTAAGATGTACATTTAAAGACTAACATCTGTAGGAAATATTTATTTGCATGCCTAATTTTTTAATGATGTACAACAAAAATTGCATCCAGTATGAAGTAGCTGAATGTATTGGGCTGAGACTAACAAATAAATCTTTGGACTGAGACAATGCAGTAATATACAGGCAGTCCCCGGGTTACGTACAAGATAGGGACTGTAGGTTTGTTCTTAAGTTGAATCTGTATGTAAGTCGGAACTGGCGTCCAGATTCAGCCGCTGCTGAAACTGACCAGCAGCTGACTACAGGAAGCCCGAGGCAGAGTTGCTCTGCCCCGGGCTTCCTGGAATCAGTCTCTGATCAGTTTCAACAGGCTGAATCTGGACGCCAGTTACATACAGATTCAGTTTAAGAACCCCAGGCGTCCCCAAGTCAGCTGCTGCTGAAACTGATCAGCGGCTGATTCCAGGAAGCCCGGGGCAGAGCAACTCTGCCTC